TTTCACCTTAAATCCGAGTCCCTCTAGTCAGTGACCGTATTATAGTGGAAATGGCTTTTCCCTATTAATCTAGCAAAACCCCTCAAATCTCCCCTCTTAATCTTCTCTGCTCTTAAAAGAACACTCTCAGCTTCCCTAGCCTCCACAGCTCAAGGTAAAATGAGCAGAATGTTGGTTTTGCTCAAAGATGAACATTTGTCATCTATTACTAAAACAATGTCTATACTGGTGTCTAATCAGCTCTGAGCTGTTACGCTGTTACAGCAGCCTAATTCCATCATTAAGAATTTATTTGAGCTGTTAGTGCTCTGCGTGCAGTGTGCTATGGTGATAAGGAAAGTGACGATCACTATCAGCTAAGATTTTCCTTGTTTTGCCGATACATAGAGCCCCATTTGAACATGAGGACATATTAAAAATGAGTGCCTGGCAGCTAGGGCGATTGTAAAGACAGAGGATCAAGATGGAGGTTCGGCAGTGGAATGGGTGGGCAGGAGAAGATCGAATCTAATGTGAATAAGTGTGGGGCGATATATTTTGGGAGGAAAGGCAAGGAATGAGAGCGCAGACTTAAAAAAAGCGTGAGACACATAATAGGTACAAATATGTGCATTTAGTGAGATGGAATGTAATTAAATGAAATCATAAAACAGGTTAACACACTATTTTGTGTTTTCAAATAGGGACATGGAGTATAGGTGGAAAGGCATAATACCACAAATTAGGCTAAACATAGCTAATGCCATCATTACAGTTCTTTGTTGCACTAAATGGTAAAGTCGCCATTGTCTTACCAGATCATAGGGCTGCTCTCTCATCAAAGACAAGTGCCTGGTGCTGGTCTATCCTGAGGGTCACCATGCCTCAGGTGAGGGGAAGAGGTTGAGGAGAATCTTTCATGGTACCTCACTAGAGTGATGCTATTAAAATCATTGAAAGTGTAAATGTTTGTTGACCAGGAGGATTGCAAGGGTGGGACAACTACAGTTGAGGAAAGAGAGATAGTAGGAACTGCAGATGTTGGAGAATCCGAGACAACAAGGTGCAGGGCTGGATGAACACAGCAGGCCAAACAGCATCATAGGAGCAGAGAGGCTGACGTTTCGGGCCTAGACCCTTCATCAGAAAAGGGCCTTTTCTGATGAAGGGTCTAGGCCCGAAACGTCAGCCTTTCTGCTCCTATGATGCTGCTTGGCCTGCTGTGTTCATCCAGCCCTGCACCTTGTTGTCTGGGCTGAAGAATAGTGAATGGTTTTAGCAGAGAAGACCAGGGCCCAAAGGCCTTGTTTGATCTAGCCATATCTGCTAGGGAATTGCTAAATCAGTACTATCACCACTTAGAGATTTCTGATTTCTTCCTCTTCCAACTGTTCCCTTTCCTCTCCTGCCCACTCCTCTTCAACTCCTCCACCCGCCCCTTTGTATCCCTCCCCACCTTCTCGCAATTATCCCTCTCCACTCTCTTCCTGTTTACTGCTTGTATGTACCTGGAATATGTGGGCCTATCTATACTCTGCAGATTTTAGAGCAATTATCACAAGAAGGAGATAAATTCCTCTCAACCATTTTGCTAGGAGGAACAAATGTTTGCATATTATTTCTAAAATATACATATTTATGCTAGGTATGTGTTCAGAAAAGGAAAAAACCTGCTTCTCAGAGAAGAAAATTCAAGACACGCAATGACCATCTGGCAGGAATACTGGAGGACTATACTGAAGGAGTATCTAGCAAAGACTAATGACCCTGAACAAGGAAGTAGGAGGAGGATTGACTGATTCATCAAAAGAAATCCTGCAGTTGATGTACAGCACTGGAATACTGAGCACAACTTTTCTTATGGTTACTTATGCTTTCTGTAATGGCTGATTTAAAGATTGTAATTCTGGTTTTGCACAATTTCAGTCATTAACCAATAGGAGTAAGGCAACAAATTGTGGTTTTCTTTTTTGATGGGTTTTTTGCTCAGTAAAATGTGATGTCTGTATTATATATTCACAACATTTTCTTTTTTAAGTTCTAGAGTGGTTCTAGCAATGTTATACAATAAAGAGTAAACAAGATCCTTTAGAACTGTTTAACAGTTGATGTTTTCATCTGCATCTCTTGTAGTTGACCAGTGCCCCATGCAGCACTACACAGACCAATTGGAAATACCCCTCCCACTTCACAACTGTAAATTCACAGACATTTGGGAGTCTCCTGTTTCTACACCAGGTAGTGAAGCAACAGTGCTTCTAAGAAAATTTCCAATCAATGTACATTTTCTTTAGTTGATCATGGATAAGCTCTCTTCCGCAGTGCAATCAAAATAAAGAAATGCTGATTATGTTTTCTGAATGTTAGCCAATCCCCACCCACCCATCAAGTTTATCTTTTTGAAAATTCATGTTTCTAATAATTAACAATAACATCATTCTACCCTAATACATTAGGTCATAGATTTCGTAACTGTAGCCTGTTAGACAGGCAACTCATTTCTATCTTAGTCATTGGCTTGTCTTCATTGAATTCTGTACACCGTAGGAAGGACTGTTGGGCACTTGGTGGAGCCATGGGGTTTGGCAAGTGTTGATACGAGGAGGAGTGAAGCACAGATCTAGGGAGATTCAGCAGAGACAGAGATCCTGAACACGAGAGGGCTGCTCTCTCATTAGAGAGGGACAGCTGGTCATGGTTCATCCTGAGAGAAGAGATTGAGAAGTTGGAACCTTCATGGTGACCTCAGCCAGTGTGGGGATTAAACCCACACTTTTTTCTCCAAAAAAAATTGGCCCGGATACTTTCTCCTGATCAGACAAAAAAACTACACAGTTACCTTTAGAGGTGTTCTCTGTGAGCTCCTGGCCAGGAGCCTTTGCGGCTGAAGCAGTCTTGTCCAGTCCATGAATCTGCACAGCAAAGATTGGTATTTTATACCACGGTTCCTGCCATATTTCAATTTTAAAGGTCCTGAAGTCACTTTTACATCTACTAAGAGAATGTAAATCTGTAAGAAAAGTAAGGAGGCAGGTTGCTAGGTAGGTGAAGGAGTGGGGTGGTATATGGTGAGTTGGAGTGGCAGGTGGGTTGGAGGGGCGTGTTACAGATGCACAATGTGTTGGGTGCCAGATAAAGGAGGGAATTCGAGGTGACAGGTGGATGAATGCTTATGGTAGGTCAGGAGGGTGCAGTCTGGGGATGGTGGGGTTGGTGATCTGGTAGAGCAATGTTCTTGGGGACTGGGGGAGGGATGCCAGGTCCGATCATGTCAAGGTACAAAATTAAGTCCAAACTGGGGACAGTGTCAAGTGTCTGTGGGGCGGGTCTATGATAGGAGGTCAGTCTTGGTGCAGGGAGGTAGTCAGGCCCAGCTGGGGAATGAGGCAGGCTTGAATTTGGGCTTAAATAAAAACCAAAAGAACTGCAGATGCTGTAAATCAGGAACAAAAACAAAGTGCTGGAAAAACTCAGCAGATCTGGCAGCATCTGTGGAAGAAAGCAGAGTTAACGTTTCGGATCCAATGATCTTTCTTCAGAGCTGATTGCAGCTAGGAAAGGGTTGATATACATGCCGAAGATGGGACGGGGGAAGAAGTAAGTGAAGTAAATGTAAACAAGAAATGCTGGAAATCCCAGCGGGCCAGGCAGCATCCATGGAGACAGAGCAAGCTGACATTGAGTCTAGATGACTCTTTATCTCAGTGTTAGCTGCTGTCTTTCCATGGATGCCGCCTGACCTTCTGTGATTTCCAGCATTTTTGTTTTCAGTACAGATTCCAGCATCTGCAGTAATTTGCTCCTACATTGGGAAGAAGTAAATGATAGTTGGGAGATGGAGCTCAGAGAGAGAAAATCAGTTGGGCAGACAAAGGAATGGATAAAGGTCAACCTGGGAGAATGAATAGCTGTTAATGGGGACTGCTAGTGGCTGACAATGGGATGTTTGTGATTGCAGCCACTGTGATGACAAGGTTTGGTGTGCGTGGGTTAGTGTAACACCATGGAAGAAGGTGCTCAGACCCTAAAATTATTGAACTCTATATAGATTGCAGAAAGTTGCAGGGTTCCCAAGTGGAAACTGAGGTGTTCTTCCAGTTTGTGCTGGGCTTCACTGGAGCCTAGTAGCAAGCCCAAGACAAACATGTTGGCCACGCATCACGTGTCGTATGTTGAAATGGCAGGTAGTCGGATGCTTGGTCATTTTTGTGGATAGAACGTAGGTGATCTGCAAAGTGGTCACCCAGTTTATGCTTCATCTCCCCAATGTAGAGGACACCACATTATGAGCGTGAATATAGTAAAGAATAGATTGAGTGAAATTCAGGTAAAGTGCTGTTTCACCTTGAGGGCGTGTCAGGGGCCTTGGATAGTGAGGGGGAGAGGAAGTAAACTGGTTGGTGTCACACTTTCTGTGATTGCATGGGAAGGTGCTGTGGGAGTATGATGAGTGACGGAAGATGGCCAGGGTGTCCCAGAGGGAATGGTCCCTTGAAGAAAGCTGGTAAGGGAGGGGAGTATGTGTCTAATGGTGGCATCCTGCTAGATGTGGCAGAAATGGCAGCCAATGATCCTTTAGACTTGGATGCTGGTGGGATAGTAGGTAAGGGCAAGGAGAGCCCAACGCTGTTGTGGGAGGGAAGAGAGGGGGTGAGGGTGGAAGTGTGGGAGATGGATTGGGCGTGTTTGAGAGCTCTGTAAACCATGGTGGTGGGGAATTTTCAGTTTAGGAAGAAGATGGACATTTTGAAGGCTCCCATCTCAAAGTTGGCATCATTGGAACTTGAAACGAAGTGGGGTCAGCTATCCATGGAGCTTTGAAGGAAAGATTCAGGGGTGATCAAACCAGAAGATGGTGGCACTGTTTAATGGTTTCTTGTGAGTTAAAACAAGTTTTAATTCCACTAACCTTTATCGGATAACTATTGAGCTAAGTTAGTGGAAATCTTCTGATGTCTCCAACTCTAACTTGAAGTTGGATCTTTTTGGAGGCTTGCAAACAGCAGGTAATTGCCATTTTGAAGCTTCAACTTTAGAGCAATTCCTAGGATGACAGCTACATTGTACAATTCTGTCCATGCAGTGCTACAAAGGACTGTCCTCCCATTTGAAGATCTAGGCCATGACTATTTTCAATAAGGAACTCAAAATTCATTGTAGGCTAGGTTAGGTTGATGTGTGCAGTGTCCACTGGTCAAATTTATGATATCCTTTAATCATCTTGGGAAGTTGTGAATGTCCTCCTCTCCCACAGGATATCCTACAGCTACTCCATGGCATACCTGGCCTTGGAATCAGGGCTAGGGCAATAAGTCCAGAATGTCAAGGAATATTGAGAATTTGATAAAGAATAAGAAGGAAGTATGTATTAGGTACAGGGCATTAAAAACTGGAGGTTCTTCAAAAGTAGAGAGTGTGTACAGGATTGTTTAAAAAAGAAAATAGGGGAACAAAGAGAGGCAGTGAAATGTCTTTGGGAGATAGAACCAAGTCTTATTATAGGTTTCTTAAGAGTAAGAGGATTACCAGGGAAAGGTGGAGCCTAATAGAGATCAAAGGGGCAACCTGTATGTGGACCTAGTGGATATGGGTGAGGTCTTACATGAATATTTCTCATCTGTATTCACAGAGCAGAAAAATATTGTAACTGGGAATATCAGTTGGGATAGTGAACATAACTAAAATTGATAAGGAGGAGGTATTAGATGTTTTAGTGGGCTTAATTGTGTACAAATCTCTAGGGATGCAAGTGTTGACTCTTTCAGGCCTTACTTCTTGCTAGTTTCCCTGGCCATAGGGCTGTTTTTCCTGGTGGTGGAAATATTGAATAAAGTTATTTGCACGATGGTGCCTTCACTGACTCCCTGCGCTTACACACACGCAACACAGGTGCTATGGGGAAAAATAAGCACTACCATATAGCAGTACTGTGAGGATAAAACAAAAAAAAAAGAAAAAAAGCAGAAAAAATTTTGAGTCAATCCTTAGCGCCTGATGAGCTGTGTCCCAGGCTGCTATAGAGGTAAGGGAGGAGATTGCTGGGGGCCTGGTCACTGTATTTAATACTTCGCTGACCACAGATGAAGTCCAGATAACTGGAGGATAGTTAAGGTAGGCTCTTTATTTAAGAAGGGCAGCAGGGAAAGGCCAGGTAATTATAGACCAGTTAGTCTGACATCAGTGGTAGGGAAATTTTTGGAAAAATTCTGAGGGACAGGATTAATTAATACTTAGAAAGGCAGAGATATTCAACACAGATTTGTTAGAGGGAAGTCCTGCCTGACAAATTTAATTGAGTTTTTGAGAATGATTAAATATATTGTTGAGGGTAGTTTGATGTGGTTTACATAGACATTATTAAGGTCTTTGACAAGGTCCCACGTGGAAGGCTGGTTCAAAAAATAAGAGCCCATGCTATCCAAGGCAAACTGGATCCAAAATTGGCTTGCAAATGGGAAGCAAAGGGTATGATGGAGGATTGCTTATATGATTGGAAATCTGCTCAGCAGTATACCACAGGGATCAGTGCTGGAAACCTTGCTGTTTGTTAGGTACATTAACAACATGAATGTGAATGTAGAAGGTATGTATAATTAGTAAATTGGCAGATGACATGAAAATTAGTGGTGTTGATTGTGAGGAAGATGGTCTCAGGTGACAGTCTGATTTTGATCAATTTGTAAATTGGGCAGAGTAATGGAAGATGGAATTTAATAAGTGCAAGGTAATGCATTTTAGGAGATTTAATGCAAGAAAGATACACAATGAATGGTAGGTCCATAGGGAATACTGAGGAACAAAGAGACCTTGGTGTACAAATCCATTGAACACTGAAGGTGCTAGCACAGGTAGATATGGTAGTGAAGGAGGCATACAGAATGCTTGACTTCATTAGTTGAAGTGTAGAATATAGGAGCAAGGAAGTCTTTTATAACTTTATAAAACATTGGTTAGGCCACGGATGGAATATTCTGTACAGTTCTGGTAGCCACACTATCAGAAGGATGTCATTGCACTGGACAGTATACAGAGGAGATTCACCTGTTGCCTGGGATGAGAAATCTGTTATGAGGAGAGACTGGATAGGCTGGGTTTATTTTCCTTGGAGTAGAGAAGGCTGAAGAGGGGAGTGATCTGATTGGAGTATACAAAATTATGAGAGGCATAGACAGTGTAGATCATGAGAATCTTTTCCTCACATCAATGAATCCAAGAGCAGAGGGCATAAGTCTAGGGTGAGGAGTAAGTGGTTTAGAGGAAATCTGAGAAAAATTCACCCAGAAGATGGTAGAAATATGAAACATACTGCCTGAGATGGTAGTGGAGACAGGTACTCTCATAACATTTAAGAAGCATCTGGATGAACAGTTAAAATACCAGGGTATAGTTGGCAATGGACCAAGTGCAGGTAAATAGAATCAGTGTAGTTTTCTATTTTTTGGTCGGCATGGACATGGTGAGCCAATAGGCCTGTTTCAATGACAACAAGGTGCAGGGCTGGATGAACACAGCAGGCCAAGCAGCATCATAGGAGCAGAGAGGCTGACGTTT